AGCAATTAACACATCTGATGCCAAGATTTTGGTTTTTAAGTACCCTTCTCTACTTAAAAGAACCAGGTTCTGTGGAGAAATGTTGATTCTAAGACTCTGGATGGAAATTTATAAGGTAAGCCTAGAAAGTAGGGAAGTACACAAAATTGTAGGATGTATATCCGTAGGACACAGGAGCCAGTTTGACGGGACAACCACTGGCTAAATCTGGGACAATTTCAGCATCAAAATAAGGAATAAGAATAAACTAAGACATTAAGATAAAGTGAGAACTACTGAATCTTTATTTTTTAAAAGGTAAAAATAAATGGAATAAAGTAGACTCATATTAGAAAGTCAACTAATAAATTTAGATGGAATAATGGAATTAGAATATCACCATTTGGCAACTACCATAACAATAATTATCAGGCAAGAGTTATCAATGGATATTAAATGAGGGAGAAAAAGTCTGATGAGAAACAGGATATCTCCCCAAAAGATATCTAATTAACTACAAAGGGAAAATAGTAACTTAACAGTACAGAACCTAGCAGACACCACGTTATTAGACAAGTAATCAAAATTAATTTCTTCAGTTAATTTTGGAAGGAGATATCATGAATCTCCTGAGATAATGTCTTAAGGACACAGAATCACTGCTGTGGTATTTGTCAAAATTTAATCTGGATCTAAGCATGAGGAAACATCAAACATGTTAGACACACACACACAGATCTATGTATATTTATATGTGCACACATATGTGCACACATTTGTACACAATGTACTATGTAAGTGTGTACGTGTATAATGATAAAGCAAATGTGGTAAAATATTACCATTTGATGAATCTTCAGAAAAAAGCAAAGGAGAACTGTTAGTTCTTTGTATTATTTTTGAAACTTTTCTTTAAGTCTAAACATATTTGAAAATTAAAAAGGAAAAATAAAGAAAGCAAACTGGAGGACATACGGTGTTAACCTAATACCTGCTTATTTCTGGGAAGGGCCAAGTCATGTACTCTTTCAAGCTCTGCACTGAGGGACTCCAGGGAGTGAAATTCCTACCTATGGAATGTGGCAGTCCTGTAGATAAGAATAAAGGAATGATGTAACTATTTGTGGTTACCTGTGATTTGTTGTCCTTAAATTTCCATGAAGTAGAAAACAATTATGAATATAACATTATCTCAATTATATTAAAGATACACACAAGGGAGAAAATAAGGTAAATAGGTATAATGATTACCTCTGGGTGAGAAAATAGTTATGTTTTCTTACTCTGTCTTCTAAAATGAAAGCAATCCTTATAAGAAAAGTTTGGGGCAGATATTTTATAAGGAAATAATCAATGGTAATGAATATTGATGAGTCACAGAGGATGGAGAAATAACTACTGAATTTAGAAATCAGCAAGACATTGAATTCTGAGACGTTGACTAGCTCAGTGGTGAAATGCATGAGAGTCAGGATATATAATGGAAAGAATATTGATCTTGGAATGGAAGAATCAGTCATGTTGATTTAGTTGTGTGACCCTGAGTAAGTAACTTAATCTCTTCAAAAGAGTATGTTGCCTGTTTTACTTTCTGACAAAGTTGTTCTGTGAATCATGCAAGATGATGTATGTGAAAGAAAGTATAAAAGGGTAATGTTTTAATCAACTGGTAAGTACCGATTGGATTTAAAAATAAATAAAAAGGAAAGAAATATAGGCAACATAGTTGATTTTTTAAATATTTGTTATATAAACTTCTCAAATCTACATATGAACATAAAACACAAAAAAAATCCATTTATGAAAGTTGATGCTTTTTTCCCCCCTCTTGCCTGTCAATGTAATTTCTTAAACTGGACCCTCTTTTTTTTTTTTTTTACATTCACTTAAAAAAAGTTATCACATTATTATAGATGATCCACTGGTTCTATCCCAACCTTCATATCTCAAATAACAGTAAGTCATCTCAACCATAAGCAAGGCAGCAGGTCATTGTGATTTAAAGTATGGGCTCTGCAGTTCAGATGCCCAGGTTCAAATTCCAGTTGTATCCTTTTTAGCTATTTCACCTACACAAGTGAACTGACCTTTCCCTGCCTTTTCTTTTTTCCATCTGTACAAGTTATCACTTCACTCAGGATTTTTGTGAGGATAAAATAAGTTAACATTATAAAATTCTTAGAATCTTTCTGGCTTATGTTACACTGAATAAATATGAACAAGCATTTATGAAGACAATGCCTACTATCAAAGCTGGGTGTCTGGCAAAAAATTAAAAACTAAAACATGATTTATTCTCTTTAAATGCCTATTGTTTATATGGCTAACTTTTAAAATACTATTTATTCTTCAAGCTGAAATGTTGCCTCTTCTTGATACCTATAATGGTTCCAGAGAGAAAAGCACTCACTTTCTCACATATTCTATTGTTACAACGTTACCTGCTTTTTAAATTGGCATTTAAAAAAATGTATTGCATCATGTTATTTATTTACATGTATTATATTCCCTACTACATTGCTCCTTAAAGTCCAGAAATGGAACCCTTACCTCTACAGTCTAGTAGAGCCCAATATATCTTTCACATAGTTAGTGACTATTAAGTGTTCAGCTTAAACAATTTAATTTCTGGCCCTTTTGTTCTGATACTGGTATATATTTGGGCAATATGTGTATAGACAGATTCTACTGACTATACATATACTTAATATGTTTATAGTCTATAGTGAACTGATTATACAGGAAGAATCATAGGTATACAGACAGATCCAAAAATTTTAAAAATCAATTTTAATAAAAATTATGTCCAGCCCTAATCGGTTTGGCTAAGTGGATAGAGCATCAGCTTGTGGACTGAAGGGTCCCAGGTTCGATTCCAGGCAAGGGCATGTACCTTGGTTGCAGGCACATCCCCAGTAGGGAGTGTGCATGAGGCAGCTGAATCGATGTTTCTCTCTTACTGATGTTTCTAACTCTCTATCCCTCTCCCTTCCTCTCTGTAAAAAATCAATAAAATATGTTTAAAAAATTATGTCCAACATAGCAAAACCACAATGACCGTTGGAATGCCTAACAGGTGTAATAATCTCACAGGAAAGGTATATAGGAACTACTTATTTGGGTTCAACAAAAGTTTCAGAAGTCACTTAAGAGAAAAAACAAACAAAAATCCTGCAAGTTAATTATAGATGTATAGGTTCTCAAAGCAGGAACCTACTCCAGGTGTTGGCTATTGAAAATCTGTTATCTGCAAAGGACAGTTCACATTACATCAAAGATTCTTTCTAAACTTTATGGTTTCTATATTTGTGTGTTGTGCTTTTAATCTTTGAAGTGCTAGTTTTTGACTTGGAGGTTTAGTGAGGTCCAAGGGATCCAGAAGCCGTATGATTTAACTATTATTTCAAAAAGTATTTACTGTTATCTTGTTACTCAGAAAAGCCAAAAAATTTCACCTTTTAATGATCTATTATACCGACGTCTGCTGCTTTTATTATTTTAGTATTGCTTTCTTCTGATTTTACTTTCTATGAAGCCACTAGAGAAACACTAGTACTGTAAGACAACCTGGAACTTTCAAAATCAGTTTCAGGACCAAGGCTTCCTGCCCAGGTGGACAGGTCGGTTTTAAGTAAACACTTGCACCCTCTGGCTAACAAAAATCCAGTTAAGCGTAATCTCATCCTTTTGTTTTAATCTTCACAACCATCTATGAAGTTAACGCTATTTTACAGCTGATGTAACTACTGTACAGAGCCGCCTTTGATAACTTTATCAGCTAGCAAACGGCAATAACCTGCCTGAGGTTAAGCAACTAACTTGCCTTGCAAGGCGCAGGGCAAGTCTGGCTCTAGAACTCAAGCTTTTGCCCTCAGCCATTCCACCTTCCTACAACATTAGCCACATCAAGTTTACAGAATAGAACACTGCTGACGTGTGACCATATTTTCATTAAACAGTGATTAACTGTCTCCAACTCAAAAATGGTAGCCCAAATTTAATCTCAAAACAGCTTATTTTCTGGTCATACACTTACTATTCATCTCGTGACCAATGTTTTAGGCGTGGAGCCTGAAAAATCCCAATATTCACTGCACTCAAGGGCTTACCTATAGCTTAACATGAATAGAGTAACATCATGAAAATGATTTGCAATGTGACATGTCATTACCAATCTCTAAATTTTATTTTGTATTAATATTTCCAACTATTGTCTAAATATGTTAACATAACCCATTTCAGTCCCTTTTGTCTTCTTTTTCAAGTTCATATAACGGTATCCTCCCTTGCTTTTTGTTTTTTTCAAAATCACTTCTACATTTCCCCTTAACAGCTATCTGTAGAGTCTTGCAATAATAAAACCAAAACAAACTATCCTAACTGCCTGAATTTCAATTCCCTCTTTTGGAAAATGAAAAAAGACACCGATCCACCATAGTTGCACCCTGAGACCTAGCAAATATAAGTCTACGATGACAGTGCCCAACATGTTAACAGGTGAACGGAAAAAAACATGTCTGTGGGGCCTCGCCATCCTAGCTCCCCGCTCCCGACGCCTAAAAGCACAGCGAGAAGGGCGACCGCGACTTCTCGCCGCAGCCCGAACCCGAACCGGGCAGGCCCGGCTCCCTCCACTCCGGGCTCCCGCCGGCCAGGGATACGGGACGAGGTGCGGACCCGCGTTCCTCACTCCCCAGTTCCCAGTGTGCTCGGGACGGGAAGGAAAAACCGAGGCAAGTGAGGCTCCATTCCCAAGTGGCGGAGAGGACCCCGACGGGGTGGGGAGAAACCAAGGCAGAAGGCAATCAAACCAACCCAGGCACAAAAACGGGGTCCGAGGGGCAGAGCGCAGTGGCCCGGGTCCGAGGCCCGCAGCTCCCACCTCCCGCCTCCGGCCCCCGGGGTGCAGGGAGCGGCGAGCAGATTGGCTGGCGAACCAGCGCGCAGGCCGCAAGGCACTGGACCCCCGTGCCCGCCGCACCCGCGTGTGCGGGGCCCCGACTCCCCCAGGTTACTCCCCGGGGGCCTGGGAACCCGGCCACCGGCGGAGGTTCCCCTGGCCGAGCTTTCGAGGTTGGGAGGCGAGCGAGAGGGTTCCTGCGGCCCCCGGCGGCTAGGCCCACCTGCCCCGCCTCCGAACGGGCGCGGCCAGAGCGTTCCGGGAACCGGGGGCGGGGCTTGCTGCGGGGCGGGGCTTATTGGGGGCGGGGCTTGCTGCGAGGGAGGGGCTCTGGTTCCCCTGGGAAAGGCCCTTCTGGCTGTGCGGGTGGGGAGGGAAGTGGATGAGAGTGGAGAGCTTTGTAGTGTGTCCTGAGCTAATAGTGGAGAAAAGGTGGCAATACAGTCAGGCTAGATTGCCTTCCTCTTCCTCCATGGATAGATGACCCGCCCCTCTCTTAGAAACTGGTCCTCTAAGGTTCCAACCTGTCAGCTGATTTTGATAACAGGAGTTGCAAATTTGTATTTGCGTTTAAGTCTAGTACAGTGGTTATTTTCAACCTTTTTAAATTAAGGAACCGCGTTGTGTTTAATGGAGCTTTACTTGGAAGGCCAAAGTAGACAGATAAAGGTGACATTTTTAATTTGCAAAGTATTATATAACCTCACCTTTGTATTGAAATACTTATACAGGTAATTGAGAACAGTGAGGAAGGTGTGAAGAAAAGGAACTTTTGAAATAGTGGTTACAGCTGAAGGTTCCTTCTTACATCAGCCTCAGAAGCCAAGAGAATTCTCTGTTTGGTTCCATAGTAACAAGGAAATCCTGACTCACAGTTTAGAACTTACTGATGTACTCAATTTGCTCTCCTTCAAATCTCACTGAATTTTTAAAACACATATTAATTGTGAAGTATACATATATAAATTATCCCATATTTGCACATTTTAAAGAATAATAAAAAATATCCAGGTATCACTTCGGAGCTGAAGATACAGAAAAATACCAGTATTTTTAAAGCCTTTTAGGAAGGCCTCTCCTTAAGTATCTCTTTCTCTCCCACCAAGAAATACCATTATGCTGAATTTTATATTACTCATCCCCTTACTTTAAAAAAAGTTATATATATGATTCCATAAAAATATAGTTATCCTGGTGTTGTATTTTATATAATGAATCATACTCTTCTTTTTTCACTACACTCTGAGGTTTTGAGATTCATCTATACTTAAATCCATTTCACATGGGCTAAGCTGGCACATCATTATCCATGACACCTGCTGTGGTTAGATTCAAAACTTTTGCCTGGAAATAGTCTCTTTTAATTTGCATTTTCCCCCTTGCTATCTGGGTTGTGCATGTTTGTGTATGCTAGTGGCTATTTGTGCTTCTGTGTAATGCCTGTTCTCAATTCTTGACTCATTTTTAATTGGCTTCTTTGCTTTTGAAAATTAATTTATACATAATTATGTATTTTAAAAGTTTACATATGGGTGGTGGTACACAATGCGATATACAGATCATATATCATAGCAATGTACACTTGAAACCAATATGATGCTCTTTACCAATGTCACCCCAATAAATTTAATTAGTAAAAAATAAAACATTTTTCAAAAGAAATTTAAATACTTCCCTTTTATCAAATTCTATTCTAATGCATTAACCTAATAGTAGCCTTTGGTTTTTCCTAATTGCCATTGATTAATATAATAGTCTCCACCCCATAAGATCGTTGGAGTTAATCTTGTCTTGCTATTAGAACAACAGAACCATTTTCTCTTTTGGCATTAGCAATAAAGATCCTCTTATTTCCCAGGCCTATACAAACTTTTATATAGGGTGTCCCAAAATTCACACAAGAAGTAATTTTGATAGAAAATACAGGTTTATAATTAAAAATTATAAATTTTTTATTGATTCATAAAGTATACAGTATAGGGTTATGTATGGAATAGCACATTGGGTAAATGGCTTCCACGGCTTTGCTGGCACATATGCAAAGCCGTGATCTTCATTGGTCTTCATTGTCCCTGCTCTTGGGCCATAATTGGTACTTGGTAATGCTTATCAAATTGAAGGGATTGAAATCAAAGGGCAACAGATATTAGAATCTGATTCAATAAACCAAGTAAAATTAGGCTTTTATTTTTTGTTGTTGTTGTTGTTAATGCTCACGCAAAATTCAAATCTTTTCGTGAATTTTGGGACACCCTATACCTACAACCATTCCTCTCCTTGTCTCCATTTTAATGAGCCTCAGACACATACAAAATATATAGTATGCAAGAAGTTATGCCAGTTAGGATTAGCTTTAATTACATAAAACAGTTTTGTAAATAAGACACAGCTTTGCTACTTTCTTGTATAAAGGAGTCCGGGGATCATAAGGCAATGCCACAGTTGTAACGCCACAGACTTCTCTTTTTATTTTATTTTATTTTTTTAAATTTTACTTATTTTTTGTGCCACAATCCTAATTGTTGGCTTCCATTCTTTCTCAATATGCTGGTTTTCATCCTCATATCTACCTTATAGTTAAGGATGGCTGCATGCTCTAAACCTCTTGTCTGAATCCTAGTCAGCGAGTAGAAGGAAGTGGTAGCAGGAAATGTTGAAAAGGGGATGGCTCTTCCGGCTACTTATTAAAGGAGTTTTCTGGGAAGTACAAGCCAACCATATATGCTTTCATGTGATTGACTGTAATTGAGTAATTTGGCCATATCCAGCTGCAAAGCACTCTTAGAAGTGTGCCCTTTCACCTGTGCTCAACAACTCCTACCCCCAATTAAATCAGAGCCCTGTTACTAAGAAAGAAGCAAAGAATGGATATTGGGTAGGAAATGAACAAGACTTACCTCAGCAGAGAATAGAGCAGAGAAAGAGCAGATAGACCTTACCAAGATACTTGGGCCCAATCCAAGAATCTTGGAATACATAGCTTATCACATGGCAGCTTAGTTCCCCTATGGGGTGAACCTGTTTTTATAAAGGTAATAAAAAGGGTATAAAAGCTTTGCCATAAAATTGACAGCATCTGACAATATTACCACACATCAGTCTTCCAGTTTCCAGTATAAGTGGTGGTGAATATAGGTCGTTAGGTGTTCAGAGGAATAAAACACTCACTCAGTGAAGGTCTTCTCCCAGTGCCAGTTATAAGCCATCAAATTCTTTAATACCATTTTGGGGGCAGACACATCAAAGTGTACTCCTGGTCCTAGCATTAGAAGTGGTAGATATTCTTTCGGTTAACTGTATTTGATGTTGATAGGTACAAGGACCAGTGTAGTTTCAATAAAAAGCATATCATTCACCCTGGCTGGTGTGGCTCAGTTGATTGGAGTGTCATCCCATATACCAGTGGTGAGCAAACCGCGGCTCTTTGGCCCCTTGAGTGTGGCTCTTCCACAAAATACCACGTGCAGGCGCACATGTACAGTGTGATTGAAACTTCGTGGCCCATGTGCAGAAGTCAGTTTCCAGCCTGGGCGAGTCTATTTTGAAGAAGTGGTGTTAGAAGAAGTGGGGGGTGTCCTTCTGTCAGGCGACAGGAGACACCGCGCAGGCGGGCCATGGGATATGCAGCGCAGGGGAGGCGCCCGTGATTCATGCACGAGTTGAGTGAGCCTGTCAGTCAGCAGTCTCATTGTGCAGTGGTTAGTGCTAGTCGTGTCCACAAATCACACGCGGGTGACAAAAGTACCTACTTGAAGCATAAAGTTACCTGTATTTTTCCAACCAACTGCAAATCCTACAGGTGTTTTTGTCATCAATTTAAGAATTATAATTCTTTTGTGTTGGTGGCTTTATTATTATAAAATGAGGACGTTCTTAGCAAAGGCCAGCTTAGGAGTACCCTAATTAAGTTAATAACAATGTACCTACCTATATAGTTTAAGTTTAAAAAATTTGGCTCTCAAAAGAAATTTCAATTGTTGTACTGTTGATATTTGGCTCTGTTGACTAATGAGTTTGCTGACCACTGCCATATACCAAAAGGTCCTGTGTTTGATCTCTGTCGGGTGAGTACCAGAAGGCATCCGACGGATGGTGGCAGCTGAGATGGATGCATGCCTGTAGTTGAAAGCTGGGCAAGCAGGGAGATGCAGCACTTCCTGGGAGGGAAAACTACTACACAGGGTGATATAGAGCCTCTCAGTGTTTGGGAAGAAGGAAGTTTCATGTGTTGTAATTGAGCATTAGTTTCACACCTTAACCAGCCAAGCCCTCAATGTTACACCACTTTTAAAGTCCAGATTTTACTGGGTCATTTCCTAAGGCATTTAGGGTTTGAGTTTCTTCCTTTGCAGGATACCTTAGATTCCTTATGATGCCTTAACCAAATAAGATTCCTCTGCCATAACAACACCCTCTGTTGACATAAAAAAGAGCAGCTTGCACAGTTACTAAAAGAAAAAAAAAGGCTTGTTTTTTCCTAAGATAGATGAGCCCACTCATCCTGTCTTTATATAAGAAAGAAAAAGTTAATTTTTCTCAACAGTATCTGCTGAAAGGTGATTTTCTGTGCCTGCTTATTCTAAGAGGTAGCTGGCAATCTTCTTGTTAGAATAAAAGGGGGAGAAAATGCATTTATTCTCTGCTAATGCATTCCTTTGCTAGAGAATCCAATTAAAAAGCAGGTCTATGCTTTGTACATTTCTTCTATTCCCCATAATGTCAAACTCTATGAGCGCAGATACAGAAATATCTGAGTCTCTGAGTCTCCTACCTCCAGCACATACTGCCATATGTCACAGTACTGTTTGTAGTGGGGTGAATAATGGCCCCCCAAAATATCTAAGTCCTAATCCTCTCAACCTGTGAATGCTACTTGATATGGCAAAGGGGACTTTGCAGATGTGATTAAGGGTTTTGAGATGGGGATTCTCTGGATGGGCCCTAACTATTATTTTTATTTATAAGAGACAGACAGAGGGAGATTGGACAGATTAGAAGGCAAGGTGACCACTGAAGCAAAATACTGTGCTGCTGGATGTGAAGATTAGGGAAGGGGCTACAACTAAAAGAATGCAGCTCTAGAAGCTAGAAAAGGCAAGAAAATAGATTCCCCCCTAAGCCTCCTACAGGTGAGTGACTGCCAACAATGGGATTTCACCCAGTGAAACTGACTCAGACTTCTGAACTCCAGAACTTCAAGAAATTATGTT